GCGAGCGTTGGTTTTACATCGACGCTGGTCTCCATAAAAGATTACTCCCGTGAGGCAACCCCTTGCATACCCGATGAAGCCGCTACATCGTCAAGAAGTCCGAGCTGAGCAGGACCCATGCAACTTCAACACCAACTACATCGACGCTGTCAAGACTGACGAGGCGCGACGGCGAGGGCGAACATGGCCAGCACAAAGCCATGTTTTGAGCGGCACGTGTACCGACGAGGACACGAGCTTTGCCGCCGCCCACACCATACACTCACACCATCATCATCATGCATGGAGAATGCGAAGCAAAGACGACGAAGGCGACCACACGGCTTAATCGAAGGTATCTCGCGGAGCAACCCGCTGGAGTAATTAACCGGGAGCTTTTTGAGGCCCCGGAAACCAGGAGACCGCACATCGCCATAGTCAGGCAGGCCGCGCTAGTAGGCCACGGAGCGCAACCATTTTTTATGGGATCTTGTAATTTTGTTCATCTAAAGAGATAAATAAAATACTTGTTTCCCGTATCACTTTTCTTTGTGTACTACGGTACACTGGCACGCCCGCATTTTTCTTTTCCCCGGCGCATGAGAGAAATCCATACTCCTTCTCTTCCCTTCTTCCGGAGTGCATATAAGATTTTTCTTGTGTCAAACAAGGAGACCTTTGTCATTGTAACCGGTTCTAACGAGGTTACACGGTGCTACAATTGTTTTTTTCTGTGATTGTTGATGTAAAATTGCTCGATATTTTTACTAGCAAGAGAAGACACGAGGATGATAGCGAATCATTGAGTAATAACCAAATCAGTGAGATTTATGAACCTGCCTCATTATGGTTGTGCGGTGACGTCCATGATGACGGGCCTCTCATGCGACATTGAGTTCCACCTTGTTAAGGGGGCATGGATCGATTGATTCATAGTTGGGCCTCTCCTGCTTATCATAATATTCATAACTGAAACAAACTGAATGTAGTTGTGAATCTGTTGTTGCTTTTGGTAGAGGAATATTAGGCAACGTAGTGGCTCAGGCCGGCTAGGTGCGAAGCTGGAGGAGTGAGTGGGGTAAGTCGACGGGTGGAAGAGCGTCTTCACAAGCAGCAACTCCACCATCACATTTTCCATCGATGCCAAGGGAGTCAGGTAATAAACTCGCCTTCTTATTATTACCCTCCTCTTGTTTTGGATAATCATAGTTTTTCTTTGTCAACAGAAACAAACTTGTTCATAGTTTTCTTGTGTTTTTTCTTCGATGTGACTCTTTGCCTGACATGTTGATGTTATCCCATATTGGATTTCACATAAGGAATGTCCATTCCTGAAGCACAACCTCGCGTACATGGTTAAGTGGACCAGACCAAGTCTGGAAGAAGATTGAAAATTTCAAACGTGAGAATGACAACTACAGGAAGACTATAAGACTTTATATCGATTCTTCTTGTATAATCGCTAGAACGTCTAGGGCCAACTTTATAATGATTTTTTTCTAGACAGGAGCGCCAAGCGGTTGAGTCATTCATCGCTATGGACGTGAATAGCTGACAAGGGCCACCTTGGTCAGAATCGCTCGATAAACCAGTTCTTCTAAAAAGACAAGCAAATCCTGCCAGCAAAATCATATTACAAATAGACAGGACACCGGGCATCCAGACCACACAAGCAAGTAAATGATCGAGATAGAGGTTTGAATGATTGAGCCATACAATATGGGAATACATGCTACATGCTAAACAAGTTAGACGGATCAAAGTAATGATGGTCAATAAAGACGGAAAAATCATGGCACGCAACAGACGAGTGACCGAGTATAATGAACTTTCTATAGTCATGGATTAGTCATGTGTTAAACAAGTTCTGTTCATGGATTAGTTATTATCAAGCCTGCTGTTCTTTCTATAGTCATGTGCTATTTTTTCAATTGAACACAAGGAAGTTCCTATAGATTTTCATGGTTGATGCAAAATAGCTGAGCCTGGTTGTTTTATTCATACATATTCAGGATTGTTAGAGTATAGAATTTGTCGGTTTATGTTGTGGAGAGAGCAGTAGTGTTGTTCATCTTCTGGTTTTGATATAATTACTAACATTTATTCACTTCATAGATTAATGGATTAGTGCATGCTAACAAAACTTGTACTGTCAAAGCATTGTTCCAATGTCTCTTAAAATATATATTTTCATAGAGGGTCGTTCTGACAAGTGTGGTACCATGCTGATCCAATAAAAGACCGGCGAAGACAAGATCAAGTTCCGCCACTTCTGCTTTGAAGAGACTGCTACCAAGCTGTACCTCAGCCTCAAGGACAAGAATGACTCCAGTTTGGGGTTCAACATGCTGCTCGCAAATCCTAATATAATATTTGAGTCTCACCATGTTGCTTCCATTATAAAATGTGGCTTCGTGATGGCAGTATTGCCAACATTGACCTCATCGAGTCCATCAAGATTAATAAGCCTGGGATCAAGGATGCAGGTCCTCATCACATTCAGTCACATATATCCTCGTATGCAGTCTGATATATTCAATGGTAGATCCACCAGGTATACCATCAAGGTTAAGATCAACATGAATAACTCCATTTGGGAAAACAATAAAAGGGAAGGGATCCACTCGCCTCAAGAAGAACGACGACCACAATGAGGTATATATGCTCATACCTGTTTATTATTACATTTACACTTCTTGTTTATGTATAATTACCGTAAAACTATCTGGACCAATTTAGTCTTGTTTTGACAGGATGAATGATAGCAAGAGTAGCTTAGGACCAGTCATTTATTTACATAGCTTTTTTGTTACAGAAGCACAATAGCTAAGAATTACAGCCCTTTCTTGTACCGTGGACAAAGGTTCGACAGAAAAATAGCATAGAACTAAAGAAAGATTAGAATTAACTCACTCTTAATGCAACTATTTTCATGAAAAACAATACTACCATTGAACCGAAGGAGCCAGGTGCGGGTGTCGTTCCGAGATATATCCAGTAGCCCCACAGTCGAAGAAGCTGAAGCGGGCGGTATTGTGACGGTGCATAACAACACTCTAGGGCTAATAACTTCAGGTTCAGTGGGAGGGAAACAATTGTGTAGAATGCCCTATCGTTTGATGTGATATATGCCCAAGAGATTAGGAGTCCTTGATTGTTATATGTGCCAATTCTTAAAGAAAGCAAGGAGTGAAGTAGAAGCTTCACCATTTGAGCACCAAGGACGTATCATTGACTACAATGTTCATCAGGTTGCTTAGAAGAGATATGAGCAAAAGTATGATCATTTGTAAATATTATTTTCAAGTGAGATGAGCAGCAGTACCAAGATAGAAACAATGTTAAAGTATCTTTAGATTTTATTTCATTTTTTTGATAGAGCTGGCATTTATTTGGATATGATTTTCCATGGTGGGGAGAGATGGCGATGGCGCGGGGTGAGTAGGTTGGGGGAATGAGATATGAGTGTGAGCAGTGTGTTGTGGGGTGAGAGAGTGAATCGCCTTTTTTAGATAAAAAGAAAAGGAGTTGTTGATTGCTTTTTTAAGGGAAAAGCCACTGTTTGTTTTGAAAGAAATGTCACACATTTTTTATATAGTGAATAATACCACGTATCCTAATAAGTCATTTCTATGGAATAATTACAAACAAGTGATTCAAAGGTGAGCCATTATCAAAATTGGATGTGACCCACTCTAATAGAAGGCACGATGCCACACACTTCGACTAAAAATGTCACATGTTGTTATCTAGCAGCTGACCGATGAATATATCTTTACTTTTTCGGGTCAGAGTTTAAAACTGATGGCTTCGGCTGATGCTTTGATGGATTGGACCGAGACCTTGTCGAGTTTTACACAATCAGAAGAGGTGCATACAAATAATTGTTATTTTTTGTATATATTTTGCACATGATAACACAAAAGGTATATTTCTACATATATGTTTATTATTGTAGGGGATGAGAGAGATAAAGATGGATTATGTCGACGTTTAAAAACATCGACAAGGGCCCCATGCGATTCATTGAAAGGCCCAAAAATATCATCAAGTTTTATACACCAACATGAAATAAAATTAAAGGCCCGTGGCAACGCACGGGCATTATACTAGTAGTAGTTAGTACTCCTCCTGTCCCATAATATAATGTACATTGGTTTTTGTGAGAGTCAAACTCACAAATTTTGACTAAGTTTAATTTTTTTTATCTATTTCAACAATACAAAATAATATTATATGAAAATATATTTCATGATAATCTAATGATATTGATTTGATATTCCAGATGCTGATAATTTTTCTATAAACTTGATCAAAATTCACTAAGTTTGACTTTAAAAATATCTAACACACACTATGTTATGAGATGGAAGGAATAGTATTGTTTTGTCTAATTACAACACACTAGTATTAACTATCACACATGCATATATTTTCAACTTTATAATGCGTTACACCAAAATTTAAGCTTTGCTAAAAAAATTAAATTTAAGCATAACAGCCAAAAGATAATGTTGATTGATCCAACTTCCAGAACAAATTAAAAGAGCATCACATCGCCAAAACACGGCATGAACCAATTAAAATTCCAGCCGAAAGTATGTCGCATAGAGCTCCCAAACTGTCGCAGGCTAGTCACATGATTGAAGAGTTAGCTTACTGCTAGGTCGGCAGATTGAACATAAACAGCAAAAAGGCTCTTGATTCACACAAAATTGATAGCAGCTGGGATGGTTATATAGACAGTGACTACTTCAGCTATCTGTTAGGCTCATGGAAAGTACATCACTTATGTATAATGAATTATTTTATCCTTTCAAGCCGCTTTCATAACACTGTTGGATGCAGGTTATGTACAAAAATAAAATAAAATCAAAGAACTGTTCTGGAGGTGGAACTCGGAAGTCCAAACCAAAACCAGAAATATCTTTACAATGTCCTGCGGTTTCGGTATAGTACAGAGGTCTCACTCAGCTGAATGGGAGCGATTCATGGTCGTCGCCTATTGAGGACCGAGTCTCCTAGGTCAGATCATCTTCAGGATCGGACAATTCACCTTCGGCAACATTCACCTCCTGGCGGGAGAATTCCCACAGCAGTTGTTCGATTCCCAGCTTCCTCAATTCATGTATCCCTTGCTCAACTGTAACAAAATTGTGTTTCATGAGTGGGCAAAAACAGAATGCGATGGGGAGAATTATATGGGGTTGAAGTTAGCGTTATGGCTGGGCTGGCAATTGGAATTGATTGCCAGATCCCAAAATTAGCAATTTCAATGTAACGTTTAGAACCTCATAAATGGTTAACCTTCTAGATGAAGACAGTTCAATTTTAAGAGAAGGGTAGGTTTGTTATCCTAAAGGTTCATGCCGCTGCTACTCTGCATCCCAACCTTGTTGCGAGCCAACTTTGGGTTATGATTTTACGATAATGGGATGTGCACCGTAAATTATGTGTGGCTTGATTATGCAAAGTCATGTTTTCACATTTGATCCAGGTTGGAACAGCATAATTAGTGCCAGTTTGCATGTTTTGTTAGGAAATGGAACCAAACAAAATTAGCTTAAGTGGGCAATGTACAAGCAGTCAAGTGCATACCATCTACAGCATCATGTGAAGTTGGTTGCTGCCCATGTCGATCAACCCACATCTGCAGTCGCTCCTCTGCGATATCCTCTTCCACATTATGGGTTTTAGCCCTTCTCCAGAAATACATGAGCCAAGCCTGAGTAATACCAAAGTGAAGGGTCACTTTTACAAGCAAAATAACAACATAGATAGAGAACAAAAAAAAGAGGAAGCCCAAGAATCCCATTGGCATGTGAGACTGGACAAACTTGTCATTCTCACAAGCAATGGAAACTTTCCAGCAGCAATATTTCCTATATGACGTACAAATTAAAGGAAGATTCCTTAGCTAATATATCTCATAATTTACACTATAAGCAAGTACTGCTTATATGCAACTTTGTACTAAATCAGCGACACTTATTTGGGGACGGAAGGAGTACATTATAAGAATATCAAAACACCACAAACACGACCGAGGACCAATTGTCTAATCAATAGCCTAAAGAAACATTCTGCTACCACAAAGAATCTTGCTTCTCTCCCGATGTTTCTCTCATTTACTTCTCTCCACAACTAAACCACAATATTGAGATGTACACACAACCCCTAAACCAGTTAAATGCAACAACGCTTAGATACAACACCTAAGAGACAATGCATTAGGGCGGTTGTCTCTAAAAATATACATCACCACCTAGGATGACGAGTTAAGAAATAATGCATTGTGAGTGCCCTAACTACAGTGTCACATCATCTACGTGCTGACTTGGCAGTGCATGACACTTGCTATGATGCCTGCACTGCGAGAGTCCTAGCTTCCCAACTTTTTATCAAAATACTTCCCCTCTTATACTTCCAGTGCAATTCTAGTCATAATGCTGGTACTTTTCCCTTCTTCAGTGTCATAAAAAATAGCTAATTAATTCTTCTTGTGCTTGCAGGCCTTGCTTTGGGTAGGAAAAAGAGGTCATTTAATGCCCTTGTGAGGAAAGAGGGATGGGCAATAGGGGCATTCACTCACATTCTTAATTCTTGTGACCAACTCTAAAAAGGGCATCTATTTCGAAATGGTGAGCATATCTTTTATAGAGGGAAGAACACACTTATTTTTCACTGGATTATGAAATACATCATATATTTATGAAGAATACATCAAGAGCTACCTGCTTGAACAACACGTCTTCCTCTTCCTCCTTGCTTAGGTCTGCAGAACCAGAAAATCAAGTTACACACTGATAAGAAATTTGCAAAATTCCCATACCGCAAAAGGATAGCATAGCATCGTGCAACAGGTAACTAAAGCTGAAAGAACAGCATTCTCATGGAGATGTAGCTAACTATACGTAGATGGCAAAAAATAAGGATAAAGATGATTGTACCAAATGCCTCAGTGAATTTTTCATCACCGGATGATTTAATATCTGCAAATAAACATAAGTGTTAGCCTCTCTGATGTGCAAGGAAGTAATATGAAATAATGATAACAGTTTAGAATGAATCCCCAGTATAGTTTTTTTGCAAAATGTATTCTTAATATTTTTAGTTTTTTACATAGTTAATAACAAATGGGAAAATCCACGGAAACAAAAACAGACCTGGATCTGATAGCTCTGCAACATTTGGACGATGATGTTGGGCAAGAGCAATAAGAACAGCATCCTCAACCTTTGAATAATAAGAAACAAACAGTGTCAGAATTCAGAACAGCCAACATAAGTGGAAGATCAGATTTCGATCAAAAACATAAGCACCTTTAAGAAGGCAAGTTCTTTAAGTCCCTTATCAACAGCAAGCATTGTTTCTATGTTGCCTTCTCCTGCTGTGACAGTCAAATCATGAACAAGCATGTCTGTTTCTTCCAAATCATTACTACCTCCATCCTTAGCTCTCAGTCCAGCTGATGTCACATACTCGAGGGGAAGAGGAGCAAACGAAGACCAGTATTCATATTTTGACATAGAGATGTCTGGATAGATGCCTGAAATCAATTGGAACTTGCAGAAATCAACTGGCAAGTTAAAAGTGGGGAGTGAAGTTACTGTTTTCTAATGGGAGTCTTGAAACATACTCCCTCCGTTCCAAAATAGATGACCCAACTTTGTATTAAAGTTAGTACAAAGTTGAATCATCTATTTTGGAACAGAGGGAGTAAGAAATAGAGCATAATTGTGTGAATACAACAAGGACTGGTATTATAGAATCGGTAATATTTTGAGTCCATGTAAGCCATGTGACCAGCATTAAGTCTTTAGGAATTAATTGCATAAAGAAAAGCCCTCTGTGTGAATCTTAGTCCTTGTTCAGCAATATTTCGTAAGGCCCCAGCAAGGAATTACCATATTGGACAGCCAAGCCCCAGTAACGGGCAAGCCAACATCTCTTCATAACAACTTCTTCCTACAAACATCATGCATTTTAAATTAGCATTTCCAGAAGACGATGGACCTCTCTGTTCAGGTTGCATCTTTGGATTAAAAGGGAAAGGAAACTAACCATTTCTTCTTTGCTTAAGATCATCCTCTGTGTCATTGTGCGTAAGGCTTTTGTTTCAGATTCAGCCTCATTGAGTTTCCGCTCAGCAACTGCAGCCTTTTCACTTGCAGACTAGACGAAAGAATAGCAATTCATCAGAGATGATTCAACCAATACTGTTTTTGTTACCATAGGTTAGTACTTTTACCTGGAGCTGTTGTTGAAGAGTGGTGATTTCCTCGCTTTTATCATTTTTGGATATAAGCGCTTTCCTTATTTCTTGCTGTTTTTATTTCAGAAAAACAGATATACCAATATCATTTTCACGCATAACATCCAGGAGCCAAAGATTGGCAATATGACTAACAAAAGGAATGCATTTCTATGACCTAAGTGTATGCGGGTACATGTACATTCTTTTCAGAAAAAATGTACATGTACATAAGCGAAAACAAATCCTGGGGGCACCATTCATCACAGTTGGAGTATCGACAGCAATTTTATTTGGAAAAATTGTAGAAAAAATAGACAATGTTATCAAGAAAATATCTAACTAATCAAAACAAAGATTGTACCTCCTTCCTCACTAGCATCTCCTCCCTCCTGCATTCAAATCGGAAATCGTCAAAAAAAGTGGTAGGCAAGCCAACATGCAAGAGGACGCAAGTTTTGAAAAGGAGAGAAAACCCCCCGGCATAAGAGGACCAAAATTATATGCATGGTTACCTTTTCATAAGTTTAACTTCCATAGATAATCCATCACCAAGATTAGCAACCTGAACATATTAACAAATTGTGTGATGGATAATATAAAATGTGATGGTCATAACTACATTATCTACTTGAATTGGTCACAGTACTTCTGCTTGACTCCTGGTGATACAAAGCGAAATAACCAAGCTATGTGACCAAAAAGAAAGCTTGAACTAGATGAAACTAAATCAAGACAGGATAACGACTGATGCTTCCATATCACTTCAGGTTAAAAGTGAGAAACGCTGCCCTTTTCGTATTAGCCATTTATTCACCCGCAAAAAAAGTATTAGCCATTTATAATTATATATGTAAAGAAGTAGCAAATGTCATCTTGGTAATTCCATGGTACATCAAAGAATTACTACATGGCTTACCTGTTTCTCAAGCTCCCTTGTCCGAGCTTCAGATTGTCTAAATTTCTCTTCTGCTAGTCCAAGCTAAATTTGAAAAAACAGCGAGTATTATCACTAGTGCCACACATAAGACACTTACCCTTTACTTTATTTTCATCGAATTGTTCACAACATGCAAGAATTACAACGCACCTTTTCCAAAAGATTCACATTCTCATCTTTGAGCATCTCAACCTGAAAAGCAACCGTAATCAGATGACCTCATTCGAATTAAGGTACTTCATTATTCTTGATGAACACATCATATTGTATAACTAATAGCTCTGCTGTTCTAAAAAAACTAATAGCTCTGCAAAAAAGCATCCAATCGCATAAAGTATGAGGTGAAAACAACAAAACTGAGGACAAACCTCTTCTGTTAGTGTTGAACTGTCATGTGAATCTCTTGATCGACCGGACTGCGCGAAAGTAGGATCTGGATAGATTGTCCTACAAAATATTTCAGTAAAATTATTAGGTTTGATCTGAACAATCTGCTGCAAATTTACATGTAAATATCTTGACAAAGATTAGTTAGGAATGGATGATCTTGCAGAAGTAGTGAAAGTTAGGAAGTAGTGTATTTTGGGTGAGCACTGTTGTGTAAACGTTTTAAGTCAATAAGAAGATGCCGGGGGTGTGATGATTAGATCAAGAGTAATGATTAGAGCAATATAATGTCAATGCACACAGTGTGCTCATGCTGAACAAAGCAATACGTAAACAGGAATTTTGCTAGCCAATTAGGAATAGACAAGATGGTGGCATCAGATTATACTTTGTAAATAGTAACATTATACTCTCTACGTGCAAGGTAAGGGAATAAACATTTATTAGCATAAAAAAAAGAAATCGTAAACTCTTTTCAAATTTTATTTTATTGTAAACTACAGATAAATATAGCTCCTTTGTTTTCTCCTGTGCAAAACCCATTTGTACAACACGCCACAGTCACATTTTTAAAACTAGAAATAACTGGACCTTCCTGCATGCCTTATAAGTCAAAATTGTTCTTATTCGTATCAATCAGGAAGCCTGTGCAGTTTAAGTTCTATGCAGCATAGAGAAAGTGTCTGATTCCCTTACATTTTGGGAATGCTGTTCAATTTGTTTTTTATTAAGGGCCTCTTTGATTCGTAGGATTTTGAAAACGCAGGAATATGAAAAGATTGGAGTGGCATGCCCACTTGGGCCGTGACACCAGGGAGCGTAAGAGGGCGCTGCTGACTGCGATCCAGGCCCTTGACCTCCGGGCTGACGCGGTTGGTCTCTCCCCGGACGAGTGGCTGTCCCGCTATGTCCTCGAGGACCAGCTCTCCGTGATCTACACTGATGAGGAGGCCTATTGGCGTATCCGGGGCGCTCAGCGTTGGGTCTTGAAGGGTGACGCGAATACGGCTTACTTCCAGGCGATCGCCAACGGGCGTCGCAGACGCAACACCATCCCCTGCCTTTGGGATGGAGCCTCTCTCCTTCAGGACCCCCGGGACATCCGCTCCCATGTTGATGGGTTCTATCGTTCCCTCTTCTCCCCCGCTCCTCGGAGCGGTCTCTCTCTCGCCCTTGATTGCTGGACCGGCGCCCATCTGGTTTCTGAAGCCGATAACACATCCCTGACGGCCCCCTTCTCTGAACAGGAGGTCTGGGAGGCCATCAGGGGTATGAACCCCTCCTCGGCGCCGGGCCCTGACGGTCTTCCGGTCATCTTCTTCCAGACCTTCTGGAACGTGATTAAGCCTGAGATCATGGCCATCTTCGAGGAATTCTTCGTGGGCTCGATTGACCTTGGCCGCCTCAACTTTGGGACCATCTCCCTCATTCCCAAGGTCCCTGGGGCGACGGACATCCGCCAGTTCCGCCCGATTACGGTCATCAACGTGATCTTCCGGATCCTGGCCAAGGGGTACGCCACTAGGGTGACCCTGCTTGCTGACCGGATCACTCACCCTAACCAATCTGCGTTCATTAAGGGCCGGTACATCCTAGATGGTGTCCTGGTCCTGCACGAGGTCCTTCATGAAGTCCGGGTCAAACACCTGAAGGCGGTCTTTCTGAAAATCGATTTTCACAAGGCCTATGACACGGTTAGCTGGTCCTTCCTTAGGGAAGTTCTTCTGCGAAAGGGCTTTGACGACCGGTGGATCACGAGAGTCATGCAAATGGTCTCTTGTGGTCGCACGGCGGTCAACATTAACGGCGAGATCGGCCCCTTCTTCCCTACCCTTTGTGGGGTGCGCCAAGGCGACCCCTTCTCCCCGTTCCTATTCAATATGGTCGTGGACGCTTTGGCCTCCATTCTAGACAAGGCAAAAGCCGCGGGCCACCTCCGTGGTATTACCCCCCATCTCTCCGGGGGCGCGGGGATCTCCATCCTCCAGTATGCCGATGACACGATCATCATGGTTGAAGGCTCGGAGCTGGATATCACCAACCTAAAGTTCCTCCTTTGCTTCCAACAGATGTCGGGCCTCAAGATCAACTTTGATAAGAGCGATGTTATGGTGATGGGATACTCTCCCGCTGAGTCAGTGGCCATCGCCAATAGACTTAATTGCCGCCTGGGCTCGTTCCCCACTACCTACCTTGGGACGCCCATCAGTGACTCGCGCCTCTTGGCCGCCGATCTTCGCCCCTCCGTGACCAAGCTCCAGACTAGATGCGAGCCCTGGCAGGGGAGGTGGCTCTCCAAGGCGGCCCGGACTATTCTTATCAACTCCTCCCTCTCCAGCCTCCTCTTATTTCTTATGAGTTTCTACAGCCTCCACGAATCTCTCCATAAGGAGATCGCCAAAATCCAGTCCCGCTTCTATTGGGCTGGCGAGCACGGCAAGCAGAAGTATCACATGGTCAGCTGGCCTGACATCTGCAAGCCTCGGGAGCAGGGTGGATTGGGGATCATGTGCTCTAAGCGGATGAATATTGCCCTCCTATCCCGGTGGCTGTGGCGCATCTCGCAGGGTCAGAGTGGCCTATGGCTGGACATTATCCGGAATAAATACCTGCGCGGCCAACCCCTTGCCTTCTGCCAGAAGTCGGGAGGTTCTCAGTTCTGGCAGTCCCTCGTCCAGCTCCTCCCTGTGCTCCGCATTGGTACCTCTATCACGGTAGGGTCCGGCCTCTCGACGCTCTTCTGGTTTGACCGATGGGCCGGCGACTCCCCCTTTGCGGCTCGCTTCCCCATCCTCTTCTCTATCTCTGTCGACCCCATGATTTCTGTTGATAGGGCCCTTATTGACTTAGGGCGCCTCGCTTTCCGTCGGCCATTTGGGCCTGCGGAATCCGCCGCCTGGCGTGAGCTGCTTGATTGCGTCGCTCTGCATGAGCCGCTGGTGGATGGAGCCCAAGACCGTGTGCGTTGGCACTTGGAGTCGTCGGGCCAGTTCTCTACCAAATCGCTCTACATGGCCATTGCCCCCTCCTCCGCTCCCCCCCCTCTTGATGGTATGGTCCGTCCGTCTCCCACTGAAGATCCGCATCTTCATGTGGCAGTGGATCCGTGGACGGATCCCATCCGGTGTGGAGGTCCGCAAGCGTAATGGCCCAGGCACTGGTATCTGCCCCCTCTGTGCTGTCCCCGAGGACTCCAACCACATCTTCTTCGCGTGCGCCTCCGCCCGGTTCCTCTGGAGCTGCTTCCGCGAGATTGTCGGGGGAGGGGGGGGGGGTGGACCCACACCAACTTCCCCGACTTATTTGCTGAACTCCAAACGTCCCCCTCGTCCTCCCGCCACATTAGGTGGCTGGAGGTTGGGGTCCTTGCCTGGACTCTTTGGACTGTTCGTAATAAGCTTGTGATCGAGCGTACCCCTCTCCGTCGTGCTACTGACGCTCTCTACAAATTCTCGGGTTTCCTGCAGCTTTGGCGGCCGCTTAGCCGTCCCCTGGAGCGCGACGCCATCTCTGCCTTCATCGCCGATCTTCGCTCGATGGCCGTCCGCCTTTCGCCACCGCCGCCGCCGCCGCCGCCGGAGCCTGACTAAATCCCCGGCGCGGGTCTCGCTTTGTTTTTTCTCTTTCTTTGGGCTTGTTGAGCTGTGCCCTCAGCAGAACCTTATGACTTTGTTGTGGTACTTGGGTGTGTGTGTGTGGACTTGGTGTGGTTGTATGTCCTTTGGCGGTCTGCTTTATCTATAAAGCGGGGCGAAAGCCTTTTT